CAATGCTGTACAAAACTTAAAAGTTTGTTTTCCTAAATCACAGTTAAGCATTAAGTCTGATTGACTAAGCCACGCCAACTTGTGACTGATAGGTAAAACCAGGTTCTAAATGTTTTTGCAAACCTTGGTTCATGTTAACCAGGGTTAAGCACTATACAGTGGTACCTCGGTTTACAAACTTAATCCATTTGCAAACAGGGCTGTTCTTAAACCGAGGTACCATTGTATCTGCACTGAGTTCTACAAACTCCTTCCTTGCAAGCTGACAAGGGCTTAGTTTTGCAAGCTAAACTATTAATTTAACTATATGCCTGGGATTTTAACGAGGGTGGCAATACAATAAGGCCTTTTCTGCAGCGGCTCCCCATCTGTGGAGTGCTCTCCCCAGGGAGGTTTCCCTGGCGCCTACGTTATACACCTTTAGGTGCTAAGCAAAAACATTGCTCTTTAGCCAGGCCTTTGGTTGATTGACATCCCATGTCCTTGTAAAAAATGTTGGGGGGGGTATTGGGTTTTTTGCTGTTTTTATTTTGATTATGTATTTTGTGGTTTTATATTCTGATTTTATCCTGTGAACCGCCCTGAGACCTGCAGGTATAGGGCAGTATACAAATTTAATAACACAACAACAACTCTTGCACAGAACTGGATACAGGGATGTAGAGACACTGAACTGATCTGGCAACTGTTCTCATGCACAGAACTCCCAGCTGTGTTCCATTTGTTTAGTTGAGATTTGTTCCATCAAGGATCACTTTTGACTCTGTCATTCAGCGCAGTCAGTTCAAAGGCATATTTAAGTCTTTTGCCAGCTCCAGACATAGCATGGCCAATTAGCCACTGAAGGATCTGGCAATAATAGCCCTTCAAGCAGTGTCAAGAACTAGTCATGCCTAAATGTTTTGAAGGGCAGTCAGTTTTAACAATGAGAAATGAGGTACATGCTTTCTTTAATTTTTAGCCTTCTCTCTTTCTCCCCCCACACCCTTCCTCTGCCTGCAGTTCAATTCTTGAAAGAGGAACAGCTTAACAAGGAAGGGGAAAGGAATTTACCTGAGTCGTGCCTTCTCATACTTTTATCATAGGCATAGGGCTCTGTGAAATGTCCAAATGAATGCATGAAAGAAAAATATTTCCGCTCACAAGTAGGGCAGAATTTCTTCAAAGTATTTCACTTTTCAAAATGAACTTTTTAGCTGTGTGTTTTTTTCAGTGGATTGGGGTGGGGGAGAGGGACCAACAGCACTGGAAAAGGGGCAAAAATATTAATTACCCCCCCTTCCTTCTTCATTTTGTATGGAGGTTGATTCCATGTGCTGTGTCTCTCTGTCTTTTTGAGGCATGACTGTTGGTGGTTGTCAGCAATATGAAGCAAAACTCTACAGACATTTCATACCTTTATTCTAAATATATTGGATAAAATGAAAGCAGTGAAATGAAGAATGTTTAAACAACAGAGGAGATGAGGAAAATATACTTGTGCCAAACCAGACAACTATGAGCGCCATTCCAAAGAGCAATTGGTCTAAAATGATAAAAATTGCTCTCAGCTCTGATGTGCTCTCATTTGGCTCTAGAGCAGTGTTTCCCAACCTTGGGCCTCCAGCTGTTTTTGAACTACAATTCCCATCATCCCTGACCACTGGTCTTGCTAGCTAGGGATGATGGGAGTTGTAGTCCAAAAACAGCTGGAGGCCCAAGGTTGGGAAACACTGCTCTAGAGGACAGTGAAAAGAGTATTTATACTCTAGTTGGGCGTCACCATTTCCCCCACAACATGTGATATAAGTGAATTCCCACTTTATTGTTGGGTAGGAAATTGCCCTTGCCCCTGCCCCAGTACAGTGGTACCTCGGGTTAAGAACTTAATTCGTTCTGGAGGTCCGTTCTTTACCTGAAACTGTTCTTAACCTGAAGCACCACTTTAGCTAATGGGGCCTCCTGCTGCTGCTGTGCCGCCGGAGCACGATTTCTGTTCTCATCCTGAAGCAAAGTTCTTAACCCCAGGTAATATTTCTGGGTTAGCGGAGTCTGTAACCTGAAGCGTATGTAACCTGAAGCGTATGTAACCTGAGGTACCACTGTATGCAAATCGAACCATTAACAAGCATGAGGACATTCATATTCAATGTTTGAAAGGGTGTGAGAAGGAGAAGAGGGTGTAGACATATGGCTCGTCCACACTTGCCTTGAAAGCATAGGTCCAAGTGGTTTCCCATTGTTCCAGGGAAAACCCACTCGGAGCAAACCTCAATACATGGAAAACCCAATGGATGTCTGCTGCAATTCAACACTAAAGAGCAGGTTTTCCTGGGAGAAAGTGGCACTGTACATCTCTTAACTTCATCATTAGTTGTAGAAGATGAACCATGCAAGTGTTGTGGTCTCCAAAAATGGATATTTTAGCTATGGCAGTAACTCCTCCCAGAGCAGCAACATTTCTGGAGTGTCAGCTGCGCTGTGTATACCGTATTTTTCGCACCATAGGACGCACTTTTCCCCTCCTAAAAAGCAAGGGAAAATGTGTGTGCGTCCTATGGAGCGAATGCAGGGGGGGAGGCAGGCGGGAAAAGCCCTCAAGAGCCGCACACAAAGCTTCCTGCGCTCTTGCGGGCTTTTCTCCAGGAGGGAGAAGGGACTGACTGGCTGTAGCAGTCCCTTCTCCCTCCTGGGGGAAAAGCCCCCAAGAGCGGCGCCCTCTTTAAAGGCTGTGCGGCTCCTGCAGGCTTTTCTACGAGGTGGGGGAATCCACCCACCTCCCAGAAAACCCAGGAGAAGCCGCACCGCCCCTTTAAAGAGCGTGCGGCTTCTGCGGGAGGTGGGGGAAGCGGCAGCAGATTCCCTCCTCCCGGGCTCCCTTTGAGGCGGCAACGTAGGGAGGGGAGCAGCTTACACTCGTGTAAGCAGCTCCTCTCCCACTTTCCTCCTTCAAAGCAACTACGGAGGAGGGAAGGAAGAGGACCATGGATCCTCCGCTGCTGGAGGCTTCAGCGGATTCCCCCCTCCGTGATTGCTTTGAAGCAGGAAAGTGGGAGGGAGGCAGCTTACACTCGTGTAAGCAGCTCCTCTCCCACTTTCCTCCTTCAAAGCAACTACGGAGGAGGGAAGGAAGAGGACCATGGATCCTCCTCTGCTGGAGGCTTCAGCAGATTCCCCCTCCGTGATTGCTTTGAAGCAGGAAAGTGGGAGGGGAGCAGCTTACACTCGTGTAAGCAGCTCCTCTCCCACTTTCCTCCTTTAAAGCAACTACGGAGGAGGGAAGGAAGAGGACCATGGATCCTCCGCTGCTCGAGGCTTCAGCGGATTCCCCCTCCGTAATTGCTTTGAAGCAGGAAAGTGGGAGGGGGGCAGCTTACACTCGTGTAAGCAGCTCCTCTCCCACTTTCCTGCTTCAAAGCAACCACGGAGGAGGGAAGGAGGGGACCCATGGATCCTCTTCGCTGCTCGAGGCTGCAGCAGATTCCCTCGTCCCGGGCTCCCTTTGAAGCGGCAATGTGGGAGGGGAGCAGTTTACACTCGTGTAAGCAGCTCCTCTCCCACTTTCCTGCTTCAAAGCAACTACGGGGGAGGGAAGGAGGGGGACCATGGATCCTCCGCTGCTCACGGCTGCAGCGGATTCCTCCTCCGTGATTGCTGGGAGCTTCTCTGGGCAGGAATTCCCTCAGCTTAAGTCGGGTGGGGGAAGTGTGGCAGGTAGGGGGGTACCTACCTAGACACTGAAGCCACATGTCTCTTAGATGAAAATTGGGAGTGAGCATTGTGTGAAGTGGCTGTGGATCTCCTGCCGCAGAACTGTAGGACTGTATAGAGTTGGGAGGGCCACCCAAGGGTCATCTAGCCCAGCCCCCTCACAATGTAGGAATCACAGCTAAAGAACGCCAGGCAGATGGTCCCCCAACCGCTGCTTAAAAGCCTCCAGTGGTGGAGACCCCAAACACCTTCCGAGGTCATAGAATTGCAGGGTTGGAAGGGAACCCCAGGAGTCATCTAGTCCAGCCCCGGTGGACAGCGGGCGCAATCCATCCCATTGCGCAAGACTAAAGATGCTGCGCAAGGCTAAAGAAGAAGCCAAGGCAGTGAGCGGGATGGATCGCGCTTGCTGCCTTGTCTTCTTCTTTAGCTGCACTGGAGAGGTTTAGCTCCTGGCTGGAGAAGTTGCGCGGCTATGGATCCCGCGCGCTGTCTTGGCTTCTTTGCTCTTTGGGGCTGGGGGGGGGGACCCGGGCTTCCCCCGCAGCCCCGAGAAGCTCTGGGAGAAGTGGACAGGCTGCGTGCAGCCTGTCCGTTGCTCTTTGGGGCTGGGGGGGATAATATTTTTTTCCTTGATTTCCCCCTCTAAAAACTAGGTGCGTCCTGTGGTCCGGTGCGTCCAATAGAGCGAAAAATACGGTAATCCAGGTGTGGGGAACTGCATACATTAAAAAATGTTACAAAACACCACTGATCGCCACTTCCTCTCAAGGGTAAATTAAGTATTTTTTAGGACTATAAGTATGATTTTGCATCCATTAAAATCTCCAAGTCTTAAAATACTGTAAACAGTCATTTGAAGTACGCACTTGCATCTAAAAGATTATTTAATCTGAAAAAATACAGTTTACTCGTTTTTATGCACACAGACATTCAGGGCAGTGTTTCAGTGCACAGGAGTTGCTGTTTCTGCCTAATATTTCAATCTGATCTGATCCACATGGTATAACAATTATTCTTTTATAAGAAAATATTCACCATATAAGCCTGGAGAAAGCGCCTTAAAATAAACACACTGAATTGTTTTTTATAAATCATATAAACTAGCAAAGAAGCTTCATAAGGCAACACATAATAAAGGACCCCACCAATCCTGTGTTTTCTGAATGCACTTATAATTTCGGAAGCAAAAATAACTGAGTAAAATATGAGGAACAAATTTTACTGAAACGTATTTGCAAACACAATTGACATAATTTTCAGTCACACGTCAGAAAATACCACTGCTTTTCAGAAAAAAAGGTGCTTGTCATTTTCATTAATACTCAGAAGGAAGAAAGTAAAAAGTCACTTACTGCTATTATATCCAGTGTATTGTCACAGACTTTGCGGATCTCAGCATTTTTATCATGCATCAGGTCTATAAGATATGCTGGAGCCTCTACAAAGATATAGTTAAGGACATAAAGCAATTATGGATGCCTCCTAACAGTGTTCTATACAATCTTGGTGTGAACAGTGAAGAAACTGTTTCAAACTTATTTTAACATAGCATTTTAAATTCTGGAACCTTGTGGTGAAGGGTAGGTAAGAAATAATTTAAATAAATCACAGAATTGCAGAGTTGGAAGGGACCTCAAGCATCATCTAGTCTAACTCCCTGCAATGCAGGCATCTCAACTAAAGCATCCATGACAGATGGCCATCGAACATCTGCTTAAAATCTCCAAGGAAAGCGCGTCCATCACCTCCTGAGAGAGACTGTTCCACCGTCTAACAGCTCTCACTGTCAGAAAATTCTTCCTAATATTGAGTCAGAATCTCCTTTCTTGTAACTTGAAGCCATTGGTTCGAGTCCTACCTGTCAGAGCAGAAGTAAACACGCTTGCCCCATCCTCCATGTGACAGCCCTTAAGGTATTTGAAGATGGCTAACCTATCTCCCCCTAGTCTCCTCTTTTCCAGACTAAACATCCCCAGCTCCTTCAACCATCTTCATAAGGCTTGGAAGAAACACACATCTGTTAACATTAAATTACTGAGACGCGGGTGGCGCTGTGGGTTAAACCACAGAGCCTAGGACTTGCCGATCAGAAGGTTGGCGGTTCGAATCCCCGCGACAGGGGGAGCTCCCATTGCTCAGTCCCTGCTCCTGCTTCGAAAGCACGTCAAAGTGCAAGTAGATAAATAGGTACCGCTCCTGCGGGAAGGTAAACGGTGTTTCCGTGCGCTGCTCTGGTTCTCCAGAAGCGGCTTAGTCATGCTGGCCACATGACCTGGAAGCTGTACGCCGGCTCCCTCGGCCAATAAAGCGAGATGAGCGCCGCAACCCCAGAGTCGGCCACTACTGGACCTAATGAGCAGGTGTCCCTTTACCTTTACTGAGAACTCTAAAGTAAAGGGAGTGTGCTTTTTAAGTGGGAGATAGACTTGCTATTAACAGTGCTAGAAGGAAAAACAACCATCAGGTGTTTCTTTTCATTACATTTGGAAAGCAGGAATACAGATCATTCCCTAATCCCCTATTACATCACCGCCCACAGTAACTGATTTTGAAAGCATAAAGATATGCTAGCATCACATACAAAACGGAAAGAACAGCCATTTGTTTTGCATATGTACATGTTCCCAGCGCCACCCATTAAGCTAAGATCATATGAACATTTTATTAAAGCCGGCAGCCTTACTAAAAAGTCATGTAAATGTTTATGGATACAAAAAAAATTACAGTTGTTCTGGAGATGGTTTAGCACACATGCTAATAAGCTCATTCTATGACCTGACTACACTAAACAACTTCTATTCCAGAGCAAAAATGAGTGTTATAACATACTGTGACATTCAACTAAGATTCACTCAGAACAGACTCAATGAAATGTACATTACTAATGTAATTTCAATTGGTCTACTCTGAGTAAAACTGAATGGAATACCACCCATAGCTATGATCCCATGCAGCGTCAGCAGCAGAGTTCACAGAAGAGCAGCAGCAGCAGCTTTGGAAACAAAAACTGCAGATCAAAAACCACAGCTATTCCTGCCACCATCCTTTGAAACTGACCACCTACTGCCTCTCCTCCTGTTGTGAATGAAGACATCCAAGATTAGTGACAGGGATGGGGGTGGACAGAAGAGGAGGAGGCATGTTCTTTCGTTTGCTATCCCTTATAAGAACAGAAACACAGCTGTGAAGTGGGGCCATTTCTGAAGGCAACACAGAATAATTGGATTGCCAGCCCTTTCGCTTTTGCAGAGCTCCTGTTGTTAAGAAAGCTGCATGACACACAGAAGAGTAACAAATACACTTTCGCCGTCACTGCATCTCTGTGGTAGGCATGGCTGCAGTCATTACATTGCCCCTGGGAAGGCACAGGAATCCTAGGAGGACCAAGCTAGTAACCCCACAAAGGAGTTACTCCTCCTCAATAAATAGCAGCTTAAGATACAACACCAATATTAGCTTCAATTGCTTCACTGCATCTCTAGAAAATAGTTGGTTATATATATATTTTAAATGATCCTAAAATACAAAGCGGACGCGGGTGGCGCTGTGGTCTAAACCACTGAGTCTCTTGGGCTTGCCGGTCAGAAGGTCAGCGGTTCGAATCCCCGCGACGGGGTGAGCTCCCGTTGTTCGGTCCCAGCTCCTGCCCACCTAGCAGTTCGAACGCACGTCCAAGTGCAAGTAGATAAATAGGTATCGCTCTGGTGGGAAGGTAAACGGCATTTCTGTGCACTGTTCTGGTTCGCCAGAAGTGGCTTAGTCATGCTGGCCACATGACCCGGAAGCTGTCTGCGGACAAACACCGGCTCCCTTGGCCCATAGAGCGAGATGAGCGCACAACCCCAGAGTCATACGCAACTGGACCTAACAGTCAGGGGTACCTTTACCTTTAAAATACAAAGCAATTCAATTTCAAATAGAAATGCATGGTCTGTGGTGAACCTATAGTGATGAAACCTTGAAATAAGAGCTTCTGCATATTCTGTAGAACCAATAAAAGCACTGCAGCAGGACTATTTGATCTATAGAAGAAGGATACGAGTCTCCTTGATTATGACATCTCTAGTGGCTTGATGGAAGACCATCTGGTAAAACACATAAATGATTTGGCACACAAACTCGTCATCTTCTTGCTGAGCTATACACAAGGAAAAAGAATTGCCCCGTCAAACTTTAAATCCCCAATTACTAGCATTTAATCATGAAGACGATGCATTAAATTTTCTAGATCATAATCCACACAAACATATACACTAAAAACATACCAGTTTTAACCAAAGTTCAGGAGTGGCATTTGTCTGAAGGTCCTCCAGAGTTACTTACAGAAGGGGAAAAGTGTGTGCTTATAATTCCAAGGGAAATCCTGCATTGTAAGGAACTCAATGCCACTACTTTCTACAGCTTTCTACTTATTCTTCTCGCTTTGGGGGGTGGGAGGAGAGCAGAATATGCCACCAATCTTCCCACCCCATTTTACTTTTGGAGATTTGGAAGATATGCACTTTGAGTTAGCACACTGCTTTGCTTCACCCACTTAACCCCAAGAATTGTCTTTGCTCAGGCCACTTCCATAAAAAAACAAAAGTGAAAGTCCCACCCTTTAAATCCAAATAGCTCTGCTACCTGGCCTAGCTCAAAGCAAATACAGTGGAACCTCGGTTTTTGAACGTAACCCGTTCTGAAAGACCATTCGGCTTCTGAAAAGTTTGAGAACTGAAGATCAAAGGGTGGCCAGCAAAACCCATTGAAAAAATGGAGAAAGCTGTTCGAATTCCGAGGCGCGTTCAGAAACGGAAGCAATTACTTCTGGGTTGTCGGCGTTCGGGTTCCAAATTGCTCATCAACAGAGATGTTCGAGAACTGAGGTTTCACTGTAAACTAGGAGTACCTGGTCTGCTTGAAGTAAAAAGTGACTCCTTGTTTGTTTTTTAAACTAGTTCTGAAGGAGGAAGAGGTGGACAATGGAGGTGGTTGCCTGCATTAAGGACAGAAGGCAGGGCTTTGGAGTACAACTCCCCTTGCCTTTAGGACAGAACTATCCATTGCACTCCATCTCCACATCCAGGAAATCTGGGCACCACTTTTCCTGAGCAAAGCAGCACCAAGAAGCAGCAATGTGTGGGCAGAAGTGGCAGCCTGGAGAAAGGAATTTAATCATGCTCTTGCCAACTTTCCACACCCCTGCCACTTATTTTCCAGCTGGCATCCCAGATCTGTGTTTGTGACAGAGGCACAGGTTGGAATAAAAACCACTAGGAAGAGAACTGTGGAAAATGGCAGGCAAGGGAAAGGTTAGACCCCCCCAATCTCCTAAATTTCTCCTCTCCTGTTAATCACTCATGCCCTGATACCACTTTGCAGAGGGAAAGTAGCAGTCGCAAGTTTCAAGACGTGAAGTAGACAGAATGTGCAGTTTTCAGGCTTAATCTACATGTCCATCTCACATCTGGAAAGTCAGGAATGTGTGAACCGGTGCCAGATTGGCCTGAAGATAAATTGGGCTTTTAAAGTGTTCCAATTCAAAACTCAAAAAATCTCAAGGGATTTTTGAGTGTTCATCTGGAAGACTTGAAAAGTCCAATTTATTCACCACACCCTCTTCACTACTAGACACCCCCTTCCTCAAGTAAAAAATAAAATAATAATCCATAACTTGTGGAAGGGTGGGGTCCTCAAATTCTGGTCAGCCTTGGTAGTAGCCACTCCCCTGAAATATGTGGTTCCCAGGACCCTACTGACTCAGAGGGGTTGGTCCTGTGTCGAAAGTCACACTGAATTCCCACGTCAAAACCATCTGAAGCTCAGTTCTGGGTTAGTGATGTTTCTGCTCTCCTTTGAGCTGAACTGAGAACAGCTCTCCAGAGAACATGTGTCCCTTTCTCAGCTCTAAGCCATGCCCCGCATGTGAGCTGCTGCTTTTCGCCAATGCATCCTTTCGTTACAGCTGAAAGGAGTCTTCTGTAGATCATTACCCCTTCTCCTTTGCCAACGGAAAACTTCTTTAGCTTGGGGAAAGGCAAGGGTTGGGAAGAATAAAGAGACGGGGCATAGTAGAGGGAAGGTACAAGCCCCATTTCTAGCTCATCCAAGGTCAAAAGAAGATGGATCCAAACATTAATAATAGCCGGCCTTCTTGAAGATGGGGCGGAGAAGAGTTAGCATTTCAAGTTCCAACCTCTTTAATATTATTGTTTTTAATGAGAGGTCTAATCAGAGGAGTTGCTAAGCTGAAGTAAATTGCTCTCGTCAAAAAAAAGTCCACAGTAATTTTTGTACACTTTTTTTTAAAAAAAGTGGTATATCCACTGAAAGTATTTGTCTTGGGTGAGCATCAGAGGGCAATAAACAATCTAACATTAAATAAGCTTTCACAACATAGGTTTAATACTCAAGTGCTTACAGACGTGTGGAACTAGGAACTGTGCGCACCCCCCCAAAAAACACCCATAGGAGATTCTTAATAACATACCATTTAGTAGTTCAATGAGTGCTGGAATAATCCCAGATTTAGCTAGCAGCGCTGCGCAGGAATCATCCATGGACACTGTGCCAATCATTATCACCACTTCCAAAACAAGGTCATCTTCTGCAGAACCTGATAAATTTAACAGAGAGAGGGTATTGTTGAATCCCACAGACACACACCAAGCTTCATGCTGGAAGAAAGCCACACCCACAGAGAATTTTTCAATATGCCCAGCAAAACTTCTTTTTTTTAGCAGTAAGCAAGCATTTGAGGTGGCTGCCATACTGATGCAACATCCTTGTTTAGCCTTCAGCCCCAACAAAGTACAACAGGGTCGCTGATCGTAACTCCTCTGCCCCATTCTAAACTCTTTTTTTTTAACCGATGCAGTGGGCTAATAGCCAGGAAGGCTTTAGGACAGCACCTATGTCACAGGTTCTTTGAGACAACCATTGCTTTGGGAGTTTCAATATCTGGTAAGGGATTGTTAGATCCAGTGCTTTTTTTTTCTAAACAAATGTTATGGGGTACTCTCATTTTGACTCAAGAAAATCACCATTTTATAGTTCAAATCGTGGAAAATAAATACAGTAAATGGACAAAAGTACAAAGATTCACAAAATGTTTAGGGGTATGCGTACCCCTGTGTCCCCCCAGAAAAAAAGCAGGTTAGATTCATGGGTCCATCAGAGCATTTTCACCAGGCCTGCTCCAATCTTACCAGAAGTCAAGCTCAGTTTATTGGTCCTCATTCAGCCCAGCACTGCATCCAGGCTCCAGTCCAGTTCCTGCACCACTACAGAGCTGAATGCCATCAGTGTACTGACGACAGTATGTTCCAAATCTCCCAATGACTTCTCTCAATGACCTCACATATATGTTAAATAGCATTGGGGACAAAATTGTGCTCTGAGGAATGCCATAGCCTAACTGCCACAGGGCAGAAGAGCACTTCCCCAATACTATGCTGACCCTGGAAGTAGGAGTGGAACCTCTGTAAAACATGCCCCCAGTACCCAGTTGGGTCCAGGAGAATGCCATCATCAAAGATATCAAAAGCTGCAGAGAGACTGAGGAGAAGCAGTAAGGTCATGCTTTACTTGTCTTGTTCTCTATAAAGGTCATTAATCAGGGCGACGTTGGCTGATTCCATCCCAAAGTCAGCGCTGAACCAGACTGGAATAGGCCTAGATAACTGGTATATTTCAAGAATATCTGCAGTTGCACCACCAACCCTGCCTTGATCACCTTCCCCCCAAACAGGGTATCTGTGGTTGGTCGAAAGCTGTCACAAAGCATTGGGTTCAGGGTGGACTTCTTTAGAAGTGGCTGTAATACTTCCTCTTTAAGGGTAGTGGGGACGATCCCCTTAGGCCAGTGATGATCAAACTTGGCCCTCCAGCTGTTTTGGGACTACAACTCCCATCATCCTTAGCTAACAGGACCAGTGGTCCGGGATGATGGGAATTGTAGTCCCAAAACAGCTGGAGGGCCAAGTTTGGCCATCACTGACTTAGGTAAAGACATAATTACCACCTCCTGGACCCAGCTGGTTAAACCTTGCCAGCTAGATTTGATTAGCCAAGAGGGACAGAGCTCGAGAGGGCACATGCATGGTCAAGTGCATTACTGTAATGTGTCACAATCATTATTCCTGGGGAAAGGGAAGGAAGCCTAGATAACCCACAGGTGTTATTACACTGTCTGTTCCTGTATTTGTTAATCATTTGGCAAAGTCACCTTTCTTGGTTTATTTAGCCAAACAGAGAAATCAGGATTTAAAGAGCTGTACCCTTTCTATTTTAGCTCCTCTAACCTCTAAAAGGCTGCCCCTAAATGTCAGGCGACCGTCTGGAATGGCGGTCCATAATGTGCAAACAGCTGCCACCAGCAAAGAAAATCAGCACACACGTGTCATAAAACACACACCACCAGATTTCTGGTCAGAAAGAGTTTGAGCATGGAAGCCGCTGGCTATTTATAGGAAAACTATATTTTAAAGCTTGCACAGATGTGAAAGCATATCTGGGTAGTAAATGAAAACATATGATTATTGGTTTATACCTCTAGAGAACTTGCTTTCTGGATACGGGGAAAAGCCCCCTATATCGTTTCAAAAACCTGACTAGGATATCTGATGTTTTCATCTGACTGAGAAATAGACCGTGCCTGGATTGTCATTTGGGATTTTAGCCCAACTATGAAAGTTTGCTGAAGTGTTACTTTATATTCTTCAACTTCCCAAAATTCAAAGTAAAACCCGTGCAAATTAATGAACCTACAACCATGCCGCACAGCAAAAGAAAGTATATTGAATTACTAGGCATTCATAATACATACCTGGCTTTAATTTATCTTTGAGGTATGGTACCATTTTGTATTCTTTCAAGACAAGTTCCCAGTCCAAATCAGGCAATGTCAAATTGGCCAGTGTTCCCAAGCATTCAATCACAAATTCCTCATCTTCATCATTTGATACCTGGGCAGCTAGGTCACCAACATAATCCTAAACAAACAAATAAAGCAAGCATTTAACAAATACACTGCATGCATAAAAGAAAAGGCATTGTCTGTTACAATGCTGGTGAACTGGAATGAGCAGGTGTGCCTAGGTGGTTACTAAACTGCTGATTATATTAGAAAGACAACACACACGCAATATTGTGGATCCAACATCAAGAGTGTACTTTGGCAACAGAAACCCTTAACTGTTCTTCCTATGTCAAGCTAATGAATACTTTTTCAGTTCCAGACACATTATCCAGTCCAACAAACATTTTTTTATATATTAAAATCTAAATTTAGAAAGAAGTGCTATATGAATGCCAACTACACTTTCAAAAATACTTTCAAATACATTCTCAGTATTCAAAGCACTCCATACACATGGTAACAGCTTTATAAAGGCAAGTCAAATATTCTTATAAGACAGATGATGGCAGGGATGCTGAGGTCTGAAAGCTCAGTAATCAGCTACTGCACAGCAACAGGAAGGACAGAAGAAATTATCTTTTAAAAAATAATAATACTGGCATGCAGTAATACGAACTAGAGAAGTCAGAGTTTACACTGTTTACTATAGTATTCCAACATAATTAAGTCATGTGAAGTGAAAGCATTTGCAAAGCTGCAAACGATCAAGTGCAGTGTTCAATGTGAAGTTATTTTATCCATTATTCAATTTCATTAAAATGAAACAAGTCCCCTTATGTTCTACCCCTTATGACGGGTAGAAATTACTTATAAGGCATGCTTACAATAAACAACGTTTTGGTTGGCCCATCATGCTGAGAGATGTTCCTAATCATCTTCATCAATAATGGGTCCTTGAATTTCAGTGCTCTCTTCATCAGCATCTTCAGTCCATTTCCTGAAAAGAAACAACCCAAATGAAAGGGGAGGGAGAAATGTATGAACCAATTGATTATAACGTTTTGTATACAACATTAACAAAGGGACCATCCAATCTATTTACATTGTACATGATGCCTACTCTGGTTATGTAGGACAAACAACAAACAACATCACATTGTGGTAGGGGCTTGCTATAAGTAGTCAACAAAGGATGGTATGCAATGCTAGTCCTACACAGAGTAGACCTACTGAGCTGTCTATTTATGTCTGCTCTTCTGTAAGCTGCTATCAGTGATAGCATGTTTTGTTGTTTATTTTCTTAATGTTTTTTGGGGGGGAGACTCTTTTAAAAAAAGAAAGAAAGAAGACTGGCTTAGTCATTTGGTAGAAAACTTCCGTTCATTCATTCGTTATTGAGATTTATATCTCATCCTTCTTCCTAGGGTTGCAGGGCAGATGACAACAATCATCTTATACAGAAAATATATTATACATTTTTTATAATCTTATAAACTACATATTTATATATACGGAATAATACATCTTTCTAAGGAAGACTTATCATGGATTTTGCATAGCAAAGTCTTATTTGGCCAGTCTTTTGAGATTTTCAAGTGTCAAAAAGTATGCAGACAGGGCTGATCTGGTAGACATTGTATACCCGGACTTCCAAAAAGCTTTTGACAGAATCTACTAACTAAAGCTGTTGAATAAACTTAGCAGTCATGGGGTATGAGAACAGGTTCTGTTGCACATCTGAAACATGGAACAAGAAGGTGGACATAAGCTGGCTGCTCCTTCAACTAAGGGAAGTAAGGTGCTTTAAAGATCTGTATTGGAACTGGTTCAGTTTCTAAATCAAGTCAGGGTTGAGCCAATCCTGATTCATGACATTATTCATAGTTAAGCAGTTCTTCAGCCATAGTGGAATACTCACCTTCACAAATGAGTTGTACATTTCTCTTGTTAGCAGCCAGGTTAATGCAAAAGGAAATGAGCTCTAGGTCGACACGTTCATCAGGGCACTCAAACAACATCTTCATTAACTATCAACACATAAATGTCAAGCAACTGCATTAGCAGCAATAAAAATGAACCCATCTCTTACATGAAACCCACATGACAGGCGAACTAATGCCAGTGCACTGGAAGAAGCAAAGATCACCAGTGCCGAAGCAATGATTCTTCAACATCAACTTTGTTAGATGGTCATGTTGTTCGGACTTAAAAATGGAAAGCGTAATGCTGGTGGTTAAAAAAAAAAAGGTTTAAAGACTCTCAAGGCAAATCTTAAAAAAAAAAAAGTAGTATAAACGCTGACAACTGGGAAACACTGGCCTGCGAGCGCTCCAATTGGAGAACAGCCTTTACCAAAGGTGCCATGGACTTGGAAGATGCTTGAACTCAGGACGAAAGGGAGAAACGTGCTAAGCGGAAGGCACGCTTGGCAAACTCTCACCGTGATCAACTCCCGCCCGGAAACGTATGTCCCCACTGTGGAAGGACATGTTGATCAGAAATTGGCCTCCACAGTCACTGTTAAGACCATGGAAGACAATATTACTTGGCTACGAGTGATCACCAAAGAAGAAGACAGCCACATCATCTCAACTTATCTGCCCCATGCATTGCTCAAATATGGTGGCAGACCTTGGTAAAACAACTTAGGTCACCAATAAAAATGTGAGTGGAAGTTGTGCAGCTGCTTTTTGTGGATGGTGTTCTTGGACAACTTTTAGGCAGGGAAAGAAAGGCAGTAAGCTAGTCCTAGAGCAAAAAGGTATATGGAAGATAGACAGTGTAACAGGCCAATATAAATGATCAAACACAACCAGTACAGGATGCAGAGATGTGTGGTGTATGTATGGTGTTTTTAGGGTGGTCTTTAGCTATGGGGTTGGTCAATGTCAAACGTCCTTAAAGGTTCCTGCACACTTCGTTCTTCGTTTCTCTTACCTTTTTGAGAAGGGTGTGTGTGTTGGGTTTTCTTAATACAGTATTGATGTGGTCAACGGTGCTACTCAGTGGTGTTTGTTTGTAATAATGATTTGCGTGGCAGCACACCTGCAAACTATCGACGTTTCAGCACACCTGTATCTTTACAATGTAACTAATTAGAGGTGGAGTTATGTGATGCAGCGATGTGATAGGGTAACTGATTATTTTGAAAACTGTATTTAAGTTGACCAAACGCTTTGTATGGTACTGGCTGGTGTAGAGGGGTGGTGAGTTGCAGCTGTTTAAACATTATTTAAAAATAAAGTAAGCAAAGATAATGTGGGCAAGTTTTTATTCCATCGCCCCAGTCCAACAGTGGAGAAAGTCCAACAGTGGGGAGACTCTGTTGCAACAGAAAAATAAAGATCTGCCTTGCTTTCACTGGATCCTGCCTCTATCCATTCTTCTCTGACCAATCATGGACTTAGGGGACTTAGTTCTATGGAGGGTTGGGCAGCAAAAGCCAGCCCCCCTATTTTTCTATAACAGGCTCCTTATGTATTCATTGCGAGACATGGTCGTGTGGACTTATATATATGTGAATTACTCATAAATGCCTTATACAGCATAATCCTATGCATGCTTACTCAAAAGTCCCACTATATTCAATGAGGCTTACTCCCTAGTAAATGTGTAGTATTTCACCATTAGAAAGATATTTTACGGATATGTTCATCAGAATGGAATTGTTTTATTGTGTTTCAATATGCAGAATTTTATGTTTGCGTTTGTTATTAGCTTTTCTAAATCGACTACAGAGGAACAAGCCATGTTCTCCCAGCCACAGTTCCCTCGACCTGTGATCTGGGAATCACAATGATAGACCTTATTTGCAAGGCAGTTTTTAAAGCGTTTCACCTTCAACAAAATTAACACCACATGTTTCATTTGCAAAAAGGCTGGGGTCAGAAAGAACATGATGAGTATCTGTTCGTTGTCATACTTGGTTTGCAAGAAGAAAAACCGCTGCCCAATCGCAGTTATGCTAAAATGTTGCATTTCTCTATTTGAGGCAGCTGTCACTTGCAAGAGAGAAATGGTCTCAAACAGAACCATGAATTATTGTTTCTAGACAGTGAATATGTGATTTCAAGACTTTTTATCTGCTTCTTATTTGACCCAGGAAATCTCGCAAGATTTGGACACCCCATATAAATACAGGGAAGTAGGTTCATATAAACATCCTCAGCTAAGACATACAATTTGGCCTCATTCCTTATCTCTTAGGACTTAGGTGTACAGTGGTGGTTAAAGGTAAAAGTAAAGGTAAAGGGACTCTTGACCATTGGGTCCAGCCGCAGGCGACTCTGGGGTTGCGGTGCTCATCTTGCTTTACTGTCGGAGGGAGCCGGCGTGCAGCTTCTGGGTCATGTGGCCAGCATGACTAAGCCGCTTCTGGCGAACCAGAGCAGCGCACGGAAACGCCGTTTACCTTCCCGCCGGAGCGGTACCTATTTATCTACTTGCACTTTGACGTGCTTTCAAACTGCTAGGTTGGCAGGAGCAGGGACCGAGCAATGGGAGCTCACCCTGTCGTGGGGATTCAAACTGCCGACCTTCTGATCGGCAAGTCCTAGGCTCTGTGGTTTAACCCGCAGCGCCACCCGCATCAGCAGCGGAGGTTACATACTTTTAAAAGAGTACCCATCTCCACAACCCCTATCTGGGCCCTGCATTCCTCCTCCTCCAACAATACAGCACTGCACTAGAATGCAGTGAAATAATTCCCCACCTATTTCCCCCCTGCCCCATGCTGCTATCAGACCTTTGTAACGTGGACACACTCTGTGCCCAATCAGCACAAGCGGCATTTCAACAACCTTACAATTCCAGTTTAGGTAAATATTTCCTTTAGGAGTTCCAGTGCTCAGATCCTTTCTGCTTCCCAGTCCTAAGGGATCAGAAATGTATTTGCCTTTTCGTCTTCCAATATGAGGGCTAGAGTATTTTTCCCTCCAGGAAGAAATGGAAACGGCACAGTTCTGTAAAATGTCATCAGTTAGATTGCTAAAGTGGATTCTGGCTCCGTAATTACATTATGGCCTCTTGGTGATGAGGTTAAACCTGGTTTAACTAACACATATATTTTACAAGATAAATTGTCATCCATAATACGCTCCTAATGAGATCATTGAGGCTGCGACTCATTGATTAATATGGATAATTAAGGGCTTTTGCAAAGATACATAAAAGGAGGGTTTTTAATCTTCCCAGCCAAAGGACTGATTTTATCTTTATCAAAATGCCTTAAAGATAACCCACTCTCTAAAATTTAACTGACCTTCCATCTGCTGCCAAATACTGTTGTTTCTTTCTGTACAAAGTGACAAAAATTATTTATTTATTCCTACATTTATCTCCCACCTGCCCTCCAAGGAGCTCAGGCAATGTACAAACTTGTACATTACTCAACTGTATGCTTAAAACAACTCTGTGAGATAGTTAAGCTGACTGGCCCAAGGTCAAACAATGAGCTTCATGGCTGAGCAGGGTTTGAACCCTGATCTTCCAGGTCCTAGTCCAACACTATACTACCCTACCTCTTCATCTCCTTGATGAAACCTTTGGTTCATGTTCTCATTCTACTGCAACTTTCTCCACCCTGGCCTTTCATTGTCACATCTCGGCCCTCTTACCTAGATCCAGAATTTTACCACCAGAAACATCCGCACCTCTCAAGAGTTCACATTGTGTGACACTCCTAAGATTTCTACGCTAGCTTCAATCCAGTCTCCTATCTGTTATAGGAATTCTAAGGTCTCAAATATAGAATAATCAAATATAGAATAAACATTGATAATTGCACAAGGTAAACACACAAACATATACTTTATAACCCACATGTCTAAAATAGTACAGAAGAGCAACCCAAAAGCCATCTTGGTTCTTCTAAAGACTCTCAATATTTCCTCTGCCTCTTTAATCCCCCTTGCCTGAGAAAACGCAGGCAGATAGCAGTCAGGGGGAGTTCCTGAAGGGATTCCTCTCCTATATCAATGAACTTTCCTGTTATTGATTATCACTGTTTGCCCAGATGCTCTGCACTGAGGGATGTCTGACTGGCATCCCAATAGTCTTATCAAATGCTAATGTTTTGTATAAACTGTGTCTGGAACTATGTTGTTTTGTTGTTGTTTAGTCGTGTCCGACTCTTCGTGACCCCATGGACCAGAGCATGCCAGGCAGCTTGGTCAAACTCATGCTGGTAGCTTCGAGAACACTGTCCAACCATCTCGTCCTCTGGCGTCCCCTTCTCCTTGTGCCCTCCATCTTTCCCAACATCAGGGTCTTTTCCAGGGAGTCTTCTCTTCTCATGAGGTGGCCAAAGTATTGGAGCCTCAGCTTCAGGATCTGTCCTTCCAGTGAGCAATCAAGGCTGATTTCCTTAAGAATCTGGAACTATGTAAAACTTGCTAAATCCTCAGGAATATCACACCTTGGCCTGCCTGAGACACAGTAACCCCACCTTATATGTGATGTAAGTTCTGATGGTTCGTAGAGGGGATGAAAAACCCTTAAAAGAGATGTTTTTATTGGTTCTGGGTCTCTCTTGCTTCCTTGCAAGGAGGCGAGGGAACTCTGTTGCAAAAGAAAAATAAAGATCTGTCTTGCTTTCCCTGCATTTTGCCTCCATCCATTCATCTCTGACGGAACATGGACTTAGGGACTCAGTTGGGCAGCAAAGGCCAACCACCCCTATTTTTTTTTTTAATCATATCCAGGACAAATCTTTTGTTTTTACCTCTGGCATCCTCAGTAGCCCTGTACCCTCACCCTCCCCCACTTTTGCCCCTGCAGGTCTGCCATCCTCAGCTGCTGGTAGGACTTTGGAACACCCATGGGAACAGATCCAAACCAATTACTAAGGCACATTCAATGCACACTGAAATGCACACATAGCACACTCCCTCCACCCAACAATGTAGTTTTTATGGAATGGGAATGGCAGCTCTGGGTGGGGAAACTATAGTGTTATGTACTGAAGTTCTCACCCTGGGCCAGCAGGGGGATACTGTAGATAGTTATGCAAATGAAGGATCGAAAGTGACGTTCAGTGATTGGATAGTTTT